GCATGTTAACCTGACTTTCTTCTTCTTCTTCTTCTTCTTCTTCTTCTTCTTCTTCTTCTTCTTCTTCTTCTTCTTCTTCTTCTTCTTCTTCTTCTCACCCTTTAGGTGTTGGCTTTAGAAAGACAGGTCTTTGACTTCCTTGGTTACCAGTGGGCCCCCATCCTCGCCAACTTCTTCCACATCATCATCGTTATCCTCGGCCTCTTTGGCACTATCCAGTACCGGCCACGCTACATTGTAGTGGTGAGTGCACATAAATAAATCACATTTGTCTTGCAGTTCAGTTGAAACTCTGTACAGTCTCTCACATAATCCTATTTTTTGTGGGGGTTTTGCATCACTTTGCGTTTGCTCTCTGTCTGTGCATGTACCATACCTCGGACATGTTGTTGCTTTTCAATTGTGCTGCACTCTTTTGTGCATTGTGCGACACCCTTAAATCACTCTAATCCCTTGGTAATTAGGCCTAATTAAAGGGGGTGGGATCTTGAGGGGGTGGTGGGCCACTAAGGAGCTCATCAGATTTATACACGGCTTCAAGTTTGGGGACAGAGAAGGTCGTTCTTTAAAGTGCAGTGGAATGCATATGCAGCTTGTTCATTACTTTGCCAGAAAGCACCACTACAAGGCTTTATAAATGCACTTTTACGCACGTCGGTTTTTATTTGACAACGTAACGTTCATCTAAGGCATTAAAAGCCTGTTCTGAGCAGCATTAGTAGAAGCACAGATGGCGATGTTAATGACAGGAAAAGACTGGAGGAGTGTGCAACAGATACAGAGAACAGAATAAATAAAGAGAGGCAGGGGAGGATAGATTGAAGCCACGCAGGATAAAATGAAGACACAGAGGAAGCAGGAATTGAAGGGAGGGGAGGAAGGAGGAAAAGTTTCAGCCATTGTCTATTGTCAGATGGAAAATGGAAGAGTGCAAGCTAAGGGGTTCCAAGATCTAACACGAACATTTTTACAGGGGCGCTGATTTGCCCTTTACTCTTTCGCTGACATTTTAAACACACAGTTCATCATGAGTCGGAGGATTTGACAATCTTCACTGTGATGAGTCTGTCAGTGAATACCGCTCAGTAGCACTCTATAGCTGTCAACAGTTGGCTGTCTAAGCGTACAATTTTAGAAGTGGTTTAGTTTTGAGCTTCACTCAGCTCTTAAAAACCTGCAGCCCCCCTAGGGCTCAGATAGACTTGCTGAACTTACTGGCATCATGAAGAAAAAAAAAAGAGGTCTTCCATATAAATTTGTGTGTGTATAGTGTCTGCATGTGTATAGAGCTATGTAGGTTTGAAAGCCCAGTGGCCACAACCTTTTCTTTGTTTACTACCTTATTCATCCAGCCTGTCATTTATTTTGAAACTGTCATATTGTCTTCAATTTTCCCTGCAGCTAAACAGATTTTTATTCCCCTCCAGTACACGGTATGGGCCGCGATCTGGGTAGCCTGGAACGTCTTCATCATCTGTTTTTACCTGGAAGTAGGAGGCCTGTCCAAGGTGAGAATGTCAAAATTCCAGCCTAGCTGTTTTCTCAGGATCTTCCTTCATGTGTCTTCGTCCCATTGAAGCATTACTGTTTGTGCCTGAGATAAATCTTTGTTATGTATGTGCACATGCAGGTGGATGGAAACATTCCCACTTTTTTTTAATTAATTATTAAAAAATGTGACTTGTAAGATGTACCCCTAATACTTTCTGAGTACTAAATAAAAGAGTAACATAGTAGCCAAACCTGGTCAGTGAGCCAGCTAGCAACAAAATTATGAGAGAGAAAGGGCCGGGAATATACATTCAAAATGTGAGTGATGGTGTTGTTTGAAATCCATTGTAGCACTGATGATAAAACCAAAATAAAAATCATAAGTTAACTTGCCAGATATATTTATATAACTGACCCATAGAATATGCGTAAAACGCCCATGCACAGTGCCTTTGTTTTCATATGCACATGGCGGAAAAAAAGCATGGCGGCGACAGAGAATGTGAAGGGCAAAAGCGGATCGTTGAATGAAACAGATGAACCATAATTGGTTTGTAAAAATGGTGCCAACTTCAGTAGTGTGGAACTGGTTTGGTTTTCATCCGTCAGATACCCACCAAAGCACAATTTTTGGTAGAACATGCAAGCGGGCCGAAAAACCTGGGGCTGCACAATGTCAACGCATTAGCGCCGTCCAGTAGGGCTGTTCGATATAACGATATATATCGGATGACGATATAAAAACGTCTATCGTTTCATTTTACGCTATCGTTTGTTTCGTGGTGTCGCAAAATAAACTGTTTACGGCAATATTTTTTCATCATTTTGATGGTCACTGTAGCGGCTATGTTAATTTCTTAAAGTTCTCTCTTTCTCTTATATTTTATATAACCACACTACAGACAGACAAGCGCCTGTTTTTATGCGTTGTCGTTAGCAACAACGACGGTAACACCATTGCGTGTCCGCTTGTTTATGTTCCACATAAACCTTTCACAATAAAGCTCAAGATCCTGTTGAGACTTTTCAAAATAAACTGAATCATGTGAAAGAGCAGATTATTTACGGATGAGAAGTAAAAAAGAGCCGCCAGGTGCTAAAAAATAAACCTTAGACTCAAACGTTAGAACAGGCTTTTCCCCGCAGCACGCCGTGTAATAAATACTCACAAAGAAAACGGCGGCCGTTAGAACTTAAGTCTAGAAATGTATAGTTTCATGCATCGGTTAAAACACTCAACTCCATGTACACGACGCCCAGCTGGAAACAGACGAGCTGCCCGAGATTCACAGAATTTACAGAAAATTTTACATTTTTGTGATTTATATCGTTATCGGACGATAGAATTCTTATATCGGGATATGAGATTTTGGTCATAGCGCACAGCCCTACCATCCAGCCCCACGCATGGGGCGATCTGCGTTAACTGGCTAACGGAGATTTGCTGCGTTAACGCGCTTATGGCGTTAACGTCATTTTAATGAGATTAACGCTGACAGAACTAGTTTTAATACGACTTTGGCAAGCTACGAAGCTGCAACTCTTGATGGATTGTTGGAGCATTACGGCTACCGTAGTCAGGAGCCTGGTGGATTAATACGTACTGTGCTTCAACATAATATTACCGTATTGTGTGTGTTTAACCTCCGTTAAGTTTTGTGGATATTATACATGGTTATGCAGAGGGTATGTCGGCCAATTTCCACTGGAAATGCCTTTTGGTTAAACTGTCAGCAAGGAATTTGCTTTTGCACTGTTAAATTTTTATATAGCTTTAATGCACATAAAAAACAGCTGCTTGTTTAAGTGAAAATACAAGAGTTTCTGCACAATGAGCTATAATGTGTACATATGCCTCACTTTAGTTATGTTACCAGATGCAGACCTGGACGTCTTGAATCCTTGCTTTCTTTCCTTTGCTTTTGTTTAAGGCCATTAAAATTTTTTGCATTTCTTTTTCTGACGCTTTTGTTCTGCAGGTGTTCAGTTTGAGTTGTTCAGTCTGGTACGATCTGTGTTGATATGATGAGCAGAGAATGGGTTAAATCCTGTAAGGGTAACTGTCAGGTTCTGGTAGGTGTGTTCTCTTAACCATGTTGGAAGGCATTTGTTTTCAAAAACCACACTTAGATAAGGTTTAAAATCTTATTTTTGTTACTCCACTCGAGGACAGAGGGTGAAATCTCTGTGAAAGGCTAGCTAATTAAATTTTTAGTGTTTTCAAATTTGAGGTTTGATTACAAATTCCAAAAGAGAAAGGGTGCAGTTGTCCTGAGAGCCAGGACAGATGAAGGCAAAGATGGTTCTCTGGAAAAGAAGCCACAAAAAAAGCCTCAAGTAATAGTTTTCCTGAAAATGATTCAGCTTCCTTTTGACCTTGTGCCAGTGCTGTTGCTTTATTGCACCATGCAGGCTGCACCTATAAGAATTGTTGCCATGTAATATAAAAGCATAATTAAGGCTTCTTGAGCTTTATCGGCACTGAACACATATTTCAGCTTTAATTAGATATGATGCATTGCCGCCAGGTCTTTTCTGCCTGAACAAGCCCGAAGGCCTTGGTGAGAATAACAGTGAAGGCAGAGTAAACACAATTACTTGCAGTGTATAATGAATGTGTGACACAGCCATCTATGAATCCACTCTCTGAACAAATCACTCCCTTGAGGATTCTGTACAATATTCACCCACAACAGCAACACCCCCAGCATGTGTGTGTGCATGTATGTGTGTGTTTTCTTATATTTGGCTGGTGCGTTTCTGTCGACCTGTGGGTTACCCTGCTGTGTTTCAAGTGGAAGCTTAAATGTAATAGGTAAATAATCAGGAACAATCCCTCCCAAAGCAGTGTGAAACCCACACACAAGCATACTTTGAGTTCTCTGTGGCTGGATCCCCTGTGGTTCCTCAGCACAGATCAAATTGGTATTCAACCAGACAAAGGCAAGTGTTTGGGTTGTCACCTTCACTCTACCCCCCTCCTCTTTCTCCAAGTGTTTTCACTTTGTTCATTGTGCCTTTGAGAGATATATATATATATAGATATCTATATCTATATATCTATATCTATATCTATATATCTATCTATCTATCTATCTATCTATCTATCTATCTATCTATATCTATATATTATATATATATATATATATATATATATATATATATATATATATATATATATATATATATATAAAAACTTAAATATATTTTTTTATTTATTCTAAACTTATAAAGCCTAGAAAATGCAGCTCCTCTCCACTCCACTTCACTTCACTAATGGGTAGCTTGTCCAGTTGCAGGCTTGACCGTTGAGAATAATGAATTCTTGTCGGCAGTGTTCATCTGACACCTGCTCAGACAGCCAAAATGAGTTTCAGAAACACCTTCCCAGGCAGGCTCTGGCGACTTTGTCATTGTGTGATAGTCCTTGGCTCCATCAATTGTGTCTGTCTCTCACTGCGAATGTCTTTGTGCGTCCGCTGGGTGTGCGTGTGGCGGTTGTGGTTTTTTTGCATGGTTCCTGCTAGAATAATGAGGCTTGTAGGGGACAGCTGCTCGGGGCTGAGGCTGGGCATTAACCCGACAGATGGAGCCGGCCTGGGCTCCAAGCTCTGCATATGGTGGCCAGGAGAAAGGCTGGCTAATGGAGCACACACACGCACACAACCATATCCCATGCACACATGCATGGCCAAACTTGACACACAGGACCCTAACACATTTTATCATAAAACAGCGTCAGCTAATTTTATCTGGCTTGCTCTGAGTGATGTTGACAGAACTTTACTGGAGGGTGTGCATGTATTTGTGTGAGTGGTGTGTGCTAGCCAGACCCTCAAAGTGAGGGGGCAGGTTGTCAGAGTCATATGCCACATGCTCTGTCACCTCCTATTGATCCCTTATCCCCTCCCCCATGGTACAGCACAGACTGACAGACAGACCCCTGCTACTCTGCACGCACCTCTGTTTTAAAGAGTCCCTGGTCATTCACAGTCTTAATTCTCTCTCATGCTTTGCACACGAGACACTGGTTCACAGAAAGTTGACATTTTACCCTTTTTTTCCGATTTTTTTTCAGAGGGGTTGTACATAAAAATGGCAGTGTCCAAATTAGTTGGACCACACATTAAAAAGACTTCAGCCAGCCAGATGTCTAGTACAAAATCTGTGTAATGTTCAATTTAACTCATAAAGGAAACATTTTGTCCTGACTCATTCATTCCTGGCAGCTTCTCGCCTAAATCAAACCTGTAGATTTAACGCAGCTCAGATAGTGTCCAAACCTGCAGACACTGTCCGAAATTGACATGTGACTAATATTGCCTAATACTTACAGTAAATACTTTCCTAATCTTAGTTTTATCTGGTCTGAAAGTGAAAGGACAATTATTTATTCTTCCTGTAAGAATAAAAGTGCTGCACAGTAGAGAAATCTGAAAACTCTACTTTTGTGTTTATCATAAATATGCCTACCTCTGTGATCGCTTAATTTATTTTGATGAAAGCAGCTGATCACAAATTACAGTTTTTGAGCTTTTGTGATGTTCAGTCTGTTGTCTGTTCTTCCGCAATTCACAAAAATCCCTGCTCCTCCTACAGCATTGGTCAGATGTTAGTCAAATGGGATTAAGTTCTCCTTTATGTGACTGTGTGTGAGCTCCCTCGACTTCCCATTAGTTTTGGTTTTTTTAAATCAATTTTTAGTGTTTTTTTTTTCTCCGCTATTTTCTTATCTTAAAACAATAACGTGGACAAATTTTCATACCGATCCACCTTAGTGTGAACGGAGCGTGAAACTTTACCCTCTGCCTCTCTCTGTCACTCATCCCCAGCACACACTGTGTCTGCTGACTGTGTTTTAGAGATGATAGAAGACCACCGCGAGCACTTTCTTTCCAGCTCATGAATCAATATGCGGCTCACGGTGTGTGCTCACGGTTGTGAAATTTAAGTAAATTCGAGACTAATCAGAACTAGAAGAATCTAAAGCATCTAAGCAGGTTTATTTCCCCAATGCGATCACTCAAGCATAGTTTCTAATCTTTTTATTTCACAAACGACAAATTAAATAAGAGCCTAATCATTTCGACGTTTAGCCTCATAGACTGCCTCGTGTTCCTAGTATTCCTCTAACAGAGCTGTCTCTAAATCTCTATTGACTTTTGTTAGAGAAAATAGTTTGAGTAACATCAGTAGACTAATCTTAAATCTATGATATGGGGGGGATTGATTTCTGCTTTGGGGTGCTGGAAGCATAACAATAACACTCCTGACAGTAAGTTGCCCAAAGCCTCTTCAGTATCGACTGCTGACGTAATGCAGTTGTGAGCATGGCTACAGCTGGGATAGGGATGGTTCCCTTCGCTTGCAGGATCCATCAGTGGCATCTGTCAAGTCATTAGTCCTCACAATCCTACCTATTGACCTTCAGCTGTCCTTGTTTTTGTGACTGTTGAGAAAATGACAGAATGATGGCAAAATAAAATAAGAAACTGAGGGGGATGATAGGTAATCTACAAGAAGAAAGAGTGATAATATCAGCATCATGATTAATATTTTTCTGACTCCTTGAAGACTTTGCTACTGACTGCACAGATGGATTGGTGTTTATGTGGCACTTTTCTGGTGTTATTGACCACTCAACGTGCTCTAACACTGCGAGCCACATTCACACACTTTTTTTTTGTGCTTTCTTCTATGCACGCAAATGCCTGTCTTAGGTGCACATTTAGATTTGATATCTTGGCATGTGGACTACAGATTCTGGGGACTGGAACCCCTAAACATCTGAATCCTGAGCCGGAAGATCGGTGTTCCTGAGCCAGTTCTGCCCCTGCTCTTATAATCTGGTTATATTATGATGTATGTGTTGTTGATGTGTCCATGTATGTGCCAGTGGGGGTTGATAGGAATCAGATGTTTCCTGACAGCACTTGGCAACGTTAATAATGCATGTCTTGTCACTGAGGGGCAGATGCAAGGTTAGATTGCTGTATCGGTGTATTGATTTGTGTGTGTGTGTGTGTGTGTGTGTGTGTGTGTGTGTGTGTGTGTGTGTGTGTGCCTGGGACCTTTGGTGTCTTGCTGTATGTGACAGT